TCCCCTGACTTCAAGGTTCAGAGGGAATAATGAGCTCTTTTAGAAAAGGCAACAAATCTAATGAAAGCCGGTGGGATGATTAGACCTTGGAAAACCACTCAGTGCACCAGACTTTTTAATCACGAGCCTGCAATATCACACAAGTTTTCAGTGTCTCCTACAGAAACTTATTTTCTCTTTATTTTAGTGAACATATAATTGGGTGAAAAGTAACTACATAAATATATCTGTGACATGTATGTATACTTATGTGTGCTATAAAATAAAACCATAAGTGCGTAAAATAAAAATCACCCTAACAAGTATCAGCTTACTATTCTGTACATGCTTTAACTGTAGTGTTTATTGAAAGTGAACAGTGTGTCTGCCTGACATTTGACAGGACACATTGGAATTGCAGTTCCTGATGTCCATGCAGCCTGTAAATTGTTTGAAGAGCAAGGAGTCACATTTGTCAAGAAGCCAAATGATGGTAAGATTCATCATGTTAACAGATTAAATGACGGCCTTTTAATTTGTTTTTGTTTTTTTTAATCTTTCACCTGTAACAGAGTGACAGCCCTCAGTGCAACACATTGTAAATATACCTTTGCATATATGTATCTGGAAAAAACTGCAGCTAAACTGGAGTCAAAATCCTTTACCTGGCCAGTAAAGCTGATTCTGATTCTCCATTTACTTTATTTGTCTTCTACATTGAAAGTAAAAACAATTAAAATTGAGATTTGCGCTCAAACCATTCAAGTAAAACCAATCCTTGATTCAAAGCTAGTGATTTGTACGACAAAATGTACTACAGTAGAGGAGAAAACTGGCTTTTTTTTTTAGTGCAGTTTTATTAATCATCCCCTTGCGCACCAGCACTGGCAACTGGCTCATTATTTGGTGATATATCTGTTGTTTACACACTGGGTTGGAGGAGCTATTGTTACACCATGACAGAAATCCACCCTCTCAGCTTCTGGAATGCACCAAGGCCTCTCCACTCTGCTGCATGTACAGTATGTACTGCATAATAGTACTGTACCTTTTCATGTACTGACTTTTAACAACAGAAAACAGCTGCTCATTACCTGTGTCTGCATACATTGTTCTCAGTGTGTTGTCATCTCACTCCCACACTACAACTGGGGTGGGACACTTGCAGAAATTTGAAGTTGATAAGTGATTTGTGTTTATGTATTTCACATTTTTATTTATACAGTTTACACAGTTTTAATTAATCTCATCTTTTTCTTCAGGAAAAATGAAAGGCTTGGCCTTCATTCAGGACCCTGATGGCTACTGGATCGAGATCCTGAGTCCTAACAATATGGTGTCCATTACCTCATAATGACTGAGAACATGCTACCTGCAGTGGTGTGTACAGGGCAGACCTGCTGTGAATTCACTGGGAGAGCAGAGCGTTTAGCAAAGAATTTGGCAACGGGCACTGGAGAGCTGAGGAAATATGGGGCAGGATAATGTGCACAATGGTAACCTGCATACATTGGACTAATAGTGGACAGTTGATGAGCAAATAAATTAGATACCCAAGTTACTGCTATGAATAGTGACTATTTTGTATAGGTGGTGCATTTGTCTGCCATCATCAGTTTGTATGTAATGCAGAGTTTAAAGGGAATTGCTGTGTAATAAATGTGGAAGCCACTGTTCAAATATAATGTATTTGTGATTTCTTTTAGTTTTGATGGATAAAGCATGGTATTTTTAATACAGGTTATATCGGTGGCAGCTACATTATAATTGAAACTATGAAAAAATTACAGCTTTTAACATATTCAGAACTAATTTGTTCTCTAAAGGAGACCAGGGCATTCTTCAAGACAAAATACAAAGACTGTGCTAGAAAGTGGACATTTTGAAATAAAGCAAGTTGAGATTTTAATGTATGAAAACTTGAACCAAATGACCAACAGATAAAGAGTTACATTACACTTAAAATTTCAAATAAGTGCTAGACTTTCACAGTTGTAACTGAAATTTGACTATATTGCTGTGATTGCAAGGTACTCATCTTTTGGGCCAGGAAATTGAGGAAACTTTATTTTAATTTGTACCAAATCACAAAGGTATTTACTTGTTTTGTTGGCACCGGTTCATTATGGAAGGGTGGCATGGTGATAAAGTGTTTAATGCTGTCTCCTCACAACAAGAAGGGTCTGGGTTCAAGCCTGGGCCAACAGGCCCCCAGCAGGTCCGCATATGAAATTTTTAAATGACCAGTATTGTACTTTAGGTCAGTATTGTGCCTTACTTGGTTAAAGTCCCTGATTTATCAACATGATCTTGTTGCAATCGGTTCTTTTTACCATGCTAACTCTGAGACATGAACCAGTCCAAGTAACTTCAAAACAGTGCTGATTTATTCAATGAACACAGGTAAAAATTAACATTACACGCTCAGGTATCTTGCACCTCCAACATGCACGCAGGCAGCTGGAAGATGAAAGACCCTGAACCACAACAGGCCTATACATTATATCACTTCGGGCTAACCCCATTCTACAGAGAGAGAGACGCCAAACCGTGGTGTCTCCCAGGGACAGCTTTGCAGCTGGCCAGAGCAGTGAGGAACATGAGGAAAATCAATGTGTGAATGTCTGTTGATTATGTGGTGTGTAGCTAAAACATTCTAACACGACCTCTAGTGACATGTCCTAACATTAAACATAAGAAAATATTATGGCTATGGCTACAGTTATACACGTCATAATAATAATATTAAACACCCCGTCTCCTGACAGTCAAACTTTTCTATCTAGTTATCCTTGACCATAAGCAACCTGCAGCAACTCATGAGAATGACTAAGCATTTTAACAGCCTGAGCTAGACATCCTGTCTGCTCTAAACATTTCTAATACATAAAGTATCTAACCAATATCTATCTGACTAAAAATACCTAACAATCTTGTTGTCAAATCTCGGTTGGTGGGTTGTGTTCTTTCAAAGACAGTGTGACTCCTTTCTGCACTATGCAAGGGTTTTGCACTTCGACAAAAATTAGCAGTTGTTCCTGCAGTCAAAGTGCTTCAGGGCCTAGATTTGCTAATTCTTAATGTCAACATGCACACATTGGCAATGGCAACATGCTGATAACAGCTTGGTCTGCTTGACAGTTGATCACTGACATTTGGCTGAATTGAAGTGATAACAACTTGGTGTCGGTTGAAAGCTGATAACAAAAGTTGACAAACTGATCATTTACACATTCTGTTTGTGGGTACTATAGCTTAGTTGGTAAAGTGCCTCCTTTTGTAAACAGGATCCTTGGTTCAAATCTCAGCAATGGCTCCCTAATAAGTGTTATTTGCATTATTTTAACAACAGGAACACAAAGAGCATCCTAACGTGGTAAGAGGATTGTAGCCATATGTAAAATGCGACACAGCATGTTGCCCCTAGAATTTTGTCAGGCCTAATTAGTGTTGTCCTCAACTATTTAAAGCAAATAGGGTACAGGAGTTGTCCAGTAGGTGGGTTGTCTGTCATTTTTGGTTTCTATCATCCCTCTGAGTATTTCCTAATTACTTATTAAAGTACTTCTATGTTAAGAGCTAATTAGTTGGAAAATTTCCCAGAAACAATTTCTGAATGATAATAGCTGAAGGTGCTGTGGCTTAGCTGATCAAAGCACTTGTCTAGTAAACTGCATCAAATCCTAGAAGTCTCTGCATGCTTATTCTGTACTGCCATTCTATATAGTAGAAACTCTTATGTCCTAATGAAGAATGCTGTGTGGACATTCTGATCGGCAGCGCAGCTACAATCTATGGGACCTGGAGGAAGCACCAGTGAGGGAAGTGAGCGGGCACCTTAGTGAGGCTACACCAGAGAGGGACCTGTCAGTGGATTACTAGCTTTCTGACAGACAGGAAGCAGCAGGTGAGGCTGGGGAAAACCACATCCAGCACCCGGACAATCAGCACAGGTGCCCCCCAGGGATGTGTGCTCTCCCCTCTGCTGTTTTCACTCCACACCAACGACTGCATCTCGAAGGACCCCTCTGTCAAGCTCCTAAAGTTTGCAGATGACACAACGGTCATTGGTCTCATCCGAGACAGTGGCAAGTCCGCCTACAGACGGGAGGTTGAGAAGCTGGTCCTGTGGTGTAGCCGTAACAACCTGGAGCTGAACACACTCAAAACAGTGGAGATGACAGTGGACTTCAGGTCAAAAGGAGGGCAGAGAAAATTTCTGCAGACCCCTCACACCCTGGACACAATCTGTTTGAACTCCTCCCTTCTGGACGGCGCTACAGGTCACTGTGCGCCAAGACAACCAGGCACAAGGACAGTTTCTTCCCCCAGGTTGCCACTGATTAACACCTTTCCTCAGTGCAATACCTGTAAATATACATTGCACATATAGATCCGTTGAATCCAGACCGTGTGTGTGTGTATATATACAGTATATATAAAATGTATTTATAAGTACTTTACTCTTATTTTTATCCCTAATGCACATTCCTTTGCTTGTTGATATGTACGCACACATTGAGAGCCGCTGTACCAGAGTCAAATTCCTCGTGTGTCCTGACACACCTGGCCAGTAAAGCTGATTCTGATTCTGATGCTGTGATGACCTTAGTAAATGGGGACAACAGTTTATGCCAGTCAGGCAGTTGTACTCTGTGTAAAAAAAAATGGAGGTCCAAATGTGAATGTAAATGGAAAGTCAAATAAAATGTTTATATTTGTTTGTTGATGAGAGCTGTGAACTCAAAAATCCTCCCTGGTCTTGCTGTGCTTTGCTTCAGTGAATGCATTTGACTAATGAGGATAAACACAAGTAAAAGATGCTCTGTTTATTTAGAGCATGTCCAGGTGAATGACTCAGACTGCTTTTTTTCCTCGCACCATTCTGACTGGCTAGTTGAGATTGAAATCAGCTGTATCGGAGCTCTGATAGGTGATGTGGGAAGAACTTGTTACTAAAGGTCCTGCAGTAAAACAGCCCTATATCAACACTGGCTTTGAATAAGGAGCGCTCCTTCTCTTTTCAACAAACGCAAGTCTCCTTTGGTGGTGCCATCCTTTATGGTGAGTCAGACCATAGATACAGGCTTAGTTGTTTGGAAAAAGAAGCTCTATGTTTTAAGATTATGTAATATTGTTGTAGGGTGGTGAGCATTCCCTGTCAATCAATTACTCAAACTTTATTTATATAGCAGCTTTTTGTATATGGGCATGTGATTCAAAGTGCTTTACTGATGAAAAAAAAGCCATTAATAAGACAAAACAAATATGAACAGTATACACAATCTGAAAAAAGAGAAATGCACAAAAAGTGAAATGTAATAAATAGTAACCAATAATATAGATTTAAATAACATTTAAAAACTAAAAAAAGATTATAAATCAGCACTGTTTTGAAGTTACTCGGACTGCTTCGTCTCTCAGAGTTAACGTGGTGTAAAGAACAGGGTTCCAACATGGGGAACCAGTGAAGGAGCAAAGTTGACCAGACAAAGCTCCATTTACCCTGATTACTCTGTGTCCTGTTAGTTAAAACACTTTCTGCTCTCAGTTCCTCAGTTAGACCCACAGAACCACAAAACATGTGAACATTGCTTTAAAAGTGAACATTGTTTTAAGAATATGACTGTGTGTTGGCATTTATTTGGTTCCAAAAATATGCATACGCTGATAGTCTAGATGTTTTTCTGTAGTTTTTCAAAAGTTTTTTGTTGAGTATATTGTCGTGATTTTGTTTTAGTCTTTTGTCAGATTATTTAGGTCTACACACAGTTAATGTGACAAAAAGTGGCTGAGAATTTAAAACACTGGCATTATATTCAAAGGCATAAAATGTCCACATCCCTGCGCTTCAGTGTCTCTCTCTATAGTGCAGCTTTTTGCAACTGACAACAAATATCTATCTTTGGGAACCATGATAAGGTTATTCACATTTGGCCCTTGTACTCTGAGTACTGTACATATGACAATTGTTTTTCCTATCTTAACAGTGTTAAATCTTTGCTTGTGCTAATATTTTAATAAAGGGAAAATGATACTGAGAAAAACATTATGAATAAATGTGAATCTTTCTGTTACAGAGAGTTCATCCTCAGCTATTGCTTATCAGAAAATGATGACAGACTGATTTTATGTTTGGTTTGGCACCTAATCCTGCTGCTCTGTTATAGCACTACTCTGTTACAAATGCTCATCTAAAATTCCAAATTTAAATCTTTGCAATTACTTGAAATGTTATTTGATGTACTGTGCCTTGTCAGTTGCCAGATAGCTCTCTCATCAGATTATAAGAATGAATAAATAAATAGATAGATCAACTGATAAAGACATTATTTCAAGATCAAAGTAACATACTGTTGTAATTCTTATGTTATAATATACTCAGTGATATAACTGAAAAGTGATTTAACTGTACTTTGAAACCTTTCTGAAGAAAACATGGAGAGAAACATCCCCAGTCTTCTCCTCTTCCACCTCGTCCTCTTCGTCATCCCTGCTCCTCTGTGTTCAGCATATTCAAAAGTTGTCTACATCCCAGAGCCAATGACCTGGATGGCTGCTCAGAACTACTGCAGAACACACTACACTGACTTGGTCACCATCGGAAACCCAATAGACATTTTCAGACTTACTAAATATGAAGGCTGGATTGGTTTGCACAACGGCTCAGATGGTGTATGGAGATGGTCCGGAAGAGATGAGCAAGCTACCTTCAGCAACTGGAATAAAGGTGAGTAGGGTTAGAAGGAAAATAGGTGTATTTACCAAGTACTGTACTCAAATCTCAATTGTACATATTTAATGTGCTCAAAATGTAAGGAATTCAAATGTGATTTAATGTGCCTTATGTGGCAAGACAAATTTCAGATTTTATCTGTTATTGTCTTATTCTTGTAGGTGAACCAGGCAATGATGAGTCGTGTGCTTTTACGAGGAATTCACTTTGGCAAGGCGACAAGTGCAGTCATAATCACGCCTTCTTATGCATGTATGACCAAGTGATTCTGGTTCAGGAGCATAAGACATGGGAGGAGGCCTTGGAGCACTGTAGAGAGCTGCAGGTTGTGGACTCCACTGAGTATGACCTTGTCAGCCTGCCAGAAGCAACTGACATTCTGATCGACAGTGAGACAAAGTGGCTGCACCGATTTGAGGTTTGATGTTTTTCTACATTGTCTGTGTGTTTATGGTAATAAGAAGTGCTCCTTCTGTTGTCAGGTTATGTCACTGTAACTCCTCTCATGTTAAAAGTTTGACATTTTGGGAAAAACACTTCAGTATACTGTATAACATGACTACACCAAGAAACCCAATGCTATCCATCGACATAATTTAGCCTTACGGGTCGAACACATGGGGGATTTCTGATGGCTACAATAACTCCCACTTGGAGAAAGAAATTACAAACCTATAATGAAATGAATGCAAAGCCAACATCACTGGCCGCTACATCAAAATAAAGTCTAATGCCAACAGTCAGTACAACTGATTCAGCTATTTTAAAATGTAAAGTGGGTAAAAATACCTAACCACTGAAAAGTGCCATGAAAGTGGCAATAGTCCAGCACATAAAGCACACGGTATTGTTTTTACATTTGTTTCTATGGATTAAGCAAATAACATATAGCTATATGTATTAATTAAGCATTAGAGGTGATTGTAGAACGATTTTTGTTCATTTTGAGCAGAGCCAGGCTGTTTTCCCTGATTTCAGTCTTTATGCTAACCTAGCTTCCTACTTAAGATACAGACACAAGAGTAGTATCAGTCCTAAAAAAAAAAAAGCATTTTTCAAAATGTATCACTATTCCTTGCATTGCATATGTGCTACACAAAACATTATGCATGAAATTACGTACATACATTACAGTATGTTCAATAATGGTGAGTATTTAGCATATTCATTGTGTGTGTGCATTTTAAAAGTATAAATGTATGGAAGTGAGTCAGCAGCAGTCATTGGATGTTACACTTATTTTCTCTTTGTGTATTGATATTGTATACCAATCATGTAGGCATGGGTGGGACTGCATTTCCTGGCTGGTGACTGGTTGTGGGTGAGCGGAGAAGAGGTGACCAGGTCCAACCTTCCTCAGTGTCCTGTCGAGCAGCAGTACTGTGGCGCCATAGTTTATGATATGTTTTACACACAGTGGAAGATAATAAACTGTACTGAAGAAAGAAACTTCTTCTGCAGCAGAAAACCATGAATGCTGGGAGAGCATTTGTTAATCTTGGTAAATGTTAAATCTTGAAGTTCAATTGTGGTCCCCTTTTAAGACAGAGGTGACATGAGCAGAGATTCAAAGCCATGCATGGAAATACGAGTGGTGGTGTTGCTTAATGAACTATGCAATAACCCAACATTAGCCATCATAAACCATATAGGTTTATGGCTAATGTTGTGATATTGTATAAGATCATTCAGTTTGGCTCCACAACAGTTTAAAAGATTTGTAATAACATGTAGTACTACTGGCTCAAGGATGACAAGAACCTCTACAAGAGGGGACTGTTATGTTAAGTTCAGATGGACAAAATTTGGTCAAAGCACCTTTTCAGTCAAGAGAGATGTGATGAGGAATACTTTACTGCTGAGTATCAGAGAGTGCAGTACTTTTACAACCTTTAAATTCAGCTTGAAAACATGGCTGAAGGGTACTGATAACTGCAGTTACTGAGATAAGAGTCTATGATGATGTAGCCAGCATTAATATTAACGGTCTGATTAGAAATAGCTTCTATTGATGAGTTTGATGGAATTGTCTTTTATTTGTTTTTATGTCTTGCGCTGTGTTTCCTGCTAAGTCTAATGGTTTAATTTAGTACAATGGTCTGTTATCGGATGATTTTACAACCTGTCATTTTTTTGGAGGCTGTCACCCAGGGATTCTTGATGAGACTTAGCTTTTAGCTATATCTAATACAATTAATATATTGTGCATTGCCCCTGTCAAATGAACAAATAAAGAATAACAAATGACAATAACTGTACTGTTACTGTGACCTGTAAAGACAGGTTCAGGTTGCTTTATTTGTACCTGTAGGTCAATTTGTTTTGCAGTTAAAAGTGCATGGCATCCATCAACACAATTTTTACACCACAGTCAACACAGAATACACATACGCAAGAATGGACTGTAAATTGTAAAAATGCTCCAGGACTAATCAAAAGTAAATCCAAAAATAACAAAAAATAGAAAATATGAGATTAACTTATTATAAAAAATATTGGGACAAACTCAGAAGTGCATTACTACAGCTTGTTTGCATATGTACAGTACAGTGTGCAAATGAATAACAGAGCAGTATTCTCTGAGTATGTGCAAATTAACAGATAACAGGTAACAGATTAACAAATTTAACACATTTAACTATAGTGCCCGGTTTTATACTGTGGGACTAAAAACCTCTGCCCAAAGGGAAGAAGCTGAAAATCACTGGGCAGAGTGTGCAATTTGTCATTTAAAATGGTATTGGTAATGTATTGCATTAGTCCCAGGAGGAGAAATGAAAAGAGGTGAGGTGTGTGTTTCATCTGCTGTAACTGTCTAGTATACAGGGTTCAGTTGTGACTCACCAATCAATTTACTTAACCATTTTACAACTTGATTAAGAGTTCCTGTTCTTTACAGAAAGACTTCCAAACCATGACACAAATGAAAAAGATCAAATCAATTCAATAGTGTAGCTGCTGGTGCCGCTTTATACAAACCACTTAACAATTTTTTTCAAAGTTCAGTTTTGAATCAATAATTGTCCCAAGGTATTTACAGTATAAGAGGAGTCCTTGAGAACGCTGCGAGCACGTCAGAGACGACGTTCCCTGTGAACACCCTCAGTGGCTGGAAGTGGAGTCCCTGTGATGCATTGGTTAGCTTTCACCACTCACTGCAACACCTGGCGGTCAGAACAGTTTTCATACCAAACTGATACAGCTGGTCAGGATGCTCTAGATGGCACAGCAGTAGATGTTCACCAGGACATCTGAAGACAGCTGGTTCTTCTTCAGTGTCCTCAGAAAGAAGAGGCACTGGTGAGCCTTCTTAACCAGGCTGCGGGTGTTAGTGGTCCAGAACAGATCCTTTGAGATGTGGGTCCCCAGGAATTTGAAGCTAGAGACACGTTCAACAACCATCCTGTTAATATGGATGGGGTCGTGTGTGCCTCCTTTCTCCCTCGTGTAGTCCGCAATGAGCTTCTTGGTCTTGTTAGTGTTAAGAAGCAGGTTATTGTCAGTGCACCATACAGCCAGGTGCTGTACCTCCTCCCTGTCTCACCAGGCCAGGTACACACAGCCCTGAGGAAGATCAACCCCCGCAAAGTGGCAGGACCAGACAACATCCCTGGGAGGGCTCTCAGGGCATGTGCCAGCGAGCTGGCTGATGTT